AAAAAAAAAAAAAAAAAAAAAAAAACTGCAACCCAACCAAAGAAAACATGCAAAGCAAACGAAAAGCAAGACGAGCAAAGCACTGAACAAACTAAACCAAATCATGCAAGCAATTGACAAATTAAACCTACATGCAAACAAAGAAAAAAAAAGTACAAATTGTAAATAAACGTACTGAAAAATAAGGGGACTCACCATGAACGGTTGAACCCTGGCCAAAAATAAATTAATTAATTGGGTAAATGACACCTGCGACAGACTGGCGACCTGTCCAGGATGTACCCCACCTCTCGCCCGGAACGTTAGCTGGAGATAGGCACCAGCACCCCTCCCGACCCCACTGAGGGACAAGGGTGTTCAGAAAATGGATGGATGGATGGTAAATGACACCCAGCTGAAAAGGCATGAAGCAAAAGTAAAGACAAAACAACGGCGTTGGCGTGGCCGTGCTCCCCACGGACAATTAGGCCAGGTGCGCGCACCAGTAAGCGGCAGGAGGAGGGAGGGGGAAAACCACACAACAGTCCACCGCCAAGTCCCGAACACCTCAGGATCTAAAAAATAAAATTTAAGTTGAACTATGGCACCGAGCTCAGCAAGCTGACAATGAACCCACCTACCTCGGTTAAGAGCTCCATGCCCACGACGCGTGCCTGATCACACGCACTCCCAGAGAGCAAAACGGGAGCACCAGCACAACCTCAATCCTGAACCCAAAGGAAGCACAATCACCACAAACTAATCTAAAATCCAACAGAAGGAAAATCACAAAACTAACCTGAAGACCATTACTTGATGCTTGAGGAAAGACGGGATCACACAAGCTCACAACGCCATCTCCACAGCTCAAAACAATAGTATATGAGTGCGCACCCCACACACCTGGCTTTAAAGGGTACGTTGGTGCCGCCCACCACTCACCTTAAAGGTGAATCCGCACCAACATACCACACTAAGATACGTTTCCCCTTCCCTCCCTAACGTCTCCGAAGACCCAAACAACAAACCAGCTTTATAGGTTCCAGAGGAAACTTGGTCTCACTTTGCGCCAGAGGCATAAAATGAATTGTTGATGAAGGGACATGCTAATCTTTGCTAAAATAGTTTTCTATTCAGTAAGTAAGCTATAATAAAATGTAAGATGCAACAAATGCCTGCTACCTAAGGAAACTGAGGCTACAATTCACTAGGACTAGCTAAAACTGGACTATAACCAGCTGGAAAAATGTTGCGAGGTCCAAATAGTTTTAGCCGCAAGTCTCCATCCCACCTTTTGACGGGTCAGGCAGGTCGTCGCCGTGGGGGTGGAATAGAAAATGTTTTCTTTGGTAGAATTAAACCAATCAAAAACAACCAATAAGGATGGTTTTAGTGTTGTCAATCATGACCGTGTACATGCAGGAAAACTGTTTATACTTCATCATCAGTGGCTATGCTAACTAACCCGAGCATTCACAACAGCCTTTGGTGTTGGGAAGTAGCAGTAGAGTAGCAGAGAAGCGCCTACATGGGGATGATTGACAGCGTTAAGACCCTCTTCCTGGCTCTGTGCGGTGTATTTCTGTAGGTGCAACGCAGCTGTTGTAAGAAAACTAAACAATGAGAGACATAGACAGAGTAATCGGAAAATACAACTACCTTGAGACACGTTCAGGATTAGAGTCGACAAACAGAATAATGTGGTTCTCTTCAGATGATCCTCATAAAAGACCCTCCTACTCAGTTTTTCCATCTCTGCTATGGTTCCATATTCTTGTTATGGTTGGTGCTTTGCACAGCCCTACGCAAATTAGGAACAGGGGTGTGTAAAATAATATTTTTTTCTCCTTGCTGAACAGGCGTCGAAGGGTGAGCGCAGCTGTCAATTATAAGATATCCTTTATTGCCCCCCAGGTGAAATCCGTTGGGGGCGGTGGTAAATGGACTGCAAAACATACAGACACAAAAAATGTCACAGTGGAGGCAGATTGCAACAAAATGAGTCAGGCATACTAAAACATGACCTCTGAAATGACAAAAGAAGAGCTTGTGTAACATGCCAGGCTATCTAAGGTCAAATCAGGGATTTCTGGTTAAGCAAGACATATTTCAACATCCTGCTGGAAAGAATTCCTAGCTATTGTTACCTGCTAGATCAGAGGTTTGTAACCTACCAGCTCTAGAGCTGGTTAGCAATTTATGTCTGTAGTCAAATGCTGGTCATCAAGAAGACAAGTCCTGGTGTGCTTCTCAGCCATGTTTTCTTCATTTCCGCTGTTGTTCTCTGGAGTCCGAAGCCTTCAGAAACCTCTGTAGCTTTTTCCAAACTGATAGATATCATTGATTTTTTTCAAAAATGAGTCGACATTCTAAAACAGCATTTTTTTTTCTTGTATTTACTCAAACTAACTTTGTTCAGTGTTAAAATTTGATGATCTGAGGCTTCTAAATGTGCCACAAAAAAAAAGTAGAAACTGTATGGTGAACAGAATTCTTGGTCTAGAGTAATGAAAGCTATTTTCGATGTACATGTTAAAGCAAGATTAAACCTTTAGTGGTTTAAAATGAATCTACCAGAGGAAATGTTTGTGTTTGTCTGCACTGCTCCCTGGTGGTGCTTTGTAAAAACTACAAGCTGAAACATCCTCTACGTCAGGGGTGTCAAACTCATTTCACATCGCGGGCCACATATGACCCCTAGGTAGACGTCGTGGGCCGGACCATTAAAGTTATAGCATACTTAGCTATAAATAACCAAAATATCATGTCTTCCCTTTGTTTTGGTGTAAAGAAGCACAAGGACATTGTGAAATTTGAAATTTAACTCAAAATGTATTGAACAACACTTTTACAAAACATTTCACAAAATTGCACAAACTTTAAGTAACTGGTGTTGAAAATTATAGTAATGAACTTTATGATTACAAGAGACTTATAAAGAAAGGCTAACATTACATTGCACATTTTTCACACACATTCATCACCACAGTAAGTATTCATTTTCACAGAGCTCTATTCTTTTAATGGAAACAGTATCTGCAAATTCAAAATGCAAGGCAGCATTTTCAAGACGTTAGTCTAGTCTGGACTTGTTTTTGTTGCTGAAACTTGGCATCTTTTGGCCTGCACAAGTGCATCAACATCAGGTGTCATGTCCTGACTAGCTGTCACTTTCAGAATGTCATTTAAGTGCTTGTGTGTGAGCCTTGAACGCATTTTTGTTTTATTGATACTCATTACTGAGAAAATTTGTTCACAAAGGTAGGTTGTCCCAAACATGCACAAAATTTTAGCAGCCAGGGCTGTTAATTTGGGGTACCCTG